GGTTCTATTGTTTAGGAACTTGGGCATGCCAGATAACATCCACCAAACAGTGGGCTCGTGCAATATCTACTTGAAGAGATCAAAACTTCTAAGAATACATGTGATCGCAATGGTGTTATGTCCATTTATCAGAATGATGCCTGTGTAGTTTACTTTCTTTTTATGATTTTGTGCCAGTGTAATGGTAAATCCGTAAATCCTGCATTTAAGATGTCTTTAATATTACCGATTGCAGTCACGGAAATGCCGTCCACCAGAACCCCAGGTAAATTAACAATAGGTTCTATTGTTTAGGAACTTGGGCATGTCAGATAACACCCACCAAACAGTGGGCTCGTGCAATGTCTACTTGAAGAGATCAAAACTTCTAAGAATACATGTGATCGCAATGGTGTTATGTCCATTTATCAGAATGATGCCTGTGTAGTTTACTGTTTTTATGATTTTGTGCCAGTGTAATTGTAAATCCTGCATTTAAGATGTCTTTAATATTACCGATTGCAGTCACGGAAATGCCGTCCACCACAACCCCAGGTAAATAACCAATAGATTCTCTTGTTTAGGAACTTGGGCATGATCCACCCACCAAACAGTTGGCTCGTGCAATGTCTTCTTGAAAAGATCAAAACTTCTCAGAATACATGTGGTCGCAATGGTGTTATGTCCATTTATCAGAATGATGCCTGCGTAGTTTACTTTCTTTTTTATAATTTTGTTCCGATGTAATGGTAAATCCTGCATTTGACATGTTTTTAATATTACCGATTGCAGTCACGGAAATGCCGTCCACCAGAATCCCCCGTAAATTAAAAATAGGTTATATTGCTTAGGGACTTTGACATGCCAGATAACACCCTCCAAAGAGTGGGCTCGTGCAATGTCTTCTTGAAGAGATCAAAACTTCTGAGAATACATGTGATTGCAATGGTGTTATGTCCATTTATCAGAATGATGCCTGTGTAGCTTACTTTCTTTTTTATGATTTTGTGCCAGTGTAATGGTAAATCCTGCATTTAAGATGTCTTTATTATTACCGATTGCAGTCACGGAAATGCTGTCCACCAGAACTCCAGGTAAATTAAAAATAGGTTCTATTGTCCAGTTAACACCCACCAAACAGTGGGCTCGTGCAATGTCTTCTTGAAGAGATCAAAACTTCTAAGAATACATGTGATCGCAATGGTGTTATGTACATTTATCACAATAATGCCTGTGTAGTTTACGTTCTTTTTTATGTTTTTGTGCCAGTGTAATTGTAAATCCTGCATTTAAGATGTCTTTATTATTACCGATTGCAGTCACGGAAATGCCGTCCACCAGAACTCCAGGTAAATTAAAAATAGGTCCTATTGTCCAGATAACACCCACCAAACAGTGGGCTCGTGCAATGTCTTCTTGAAGAGATCAAAACTTCTAAGAATACATGTGATCGCAATGGTGTTATATCCATTTATCAGAATGATGCCTGTGTAGTTTACTTTCTTTTTTATGTTTTTGTGCCGATGTAATGGTAAATCCTGCATTTGAGATGTCTTTAATATCACCGATTGCAGTCACAGAAATGCCGTCCACCAGAGCCCCAGGTAAATTAAAAATAGGTTCTATTGTTTAGGAACTTGGGCATGCCAGATAACACCCACCAAACAGTGGGCTCGTGCAATGTCTTCTTGAAGAGATCAAAACTTCTCAGAATACATCTGGTCGCAATGGTGTTATGTCCATTCATCAGAATGGTACCTGTGTAGTTTACTTTCTTTTTTATGTTTTTGTGCCGATGTAATGGTAAATCCTGCTTTGAGATACCTGTTAAATAACCAATTCCAGTCGCAAAACTGCCGTCCGCCACAAATCTAGGTAAATTTGAAACAGATTTTATTGTTTGGGAACTTGGGTGGCCAAATAACACCCACCAGACAGTGGACTCGTGCAATGTCTTCTTAAAGAGGTCAAACTTCTCAGAATACATGTGGTCGCAATGGTGTTATGTCCATTTATCAGAATGATGCCTGTGTAGTTTACTTTCTTTTTTATGTTTTTTGTGCCGATGTAATTGTAAATCCTGTATTTAAGATGTCTTTAATATTACCGATTCCAGTCACGGAAAAGCCGTCCACCACAACTTCAGGTAAATTACAAATAGGTTTTCTTGTTTTTATTAACTTGGGCACGCCAGATAACACCCACAAAACAGTGGGCTCGTGCAATGCCTACTCGAAAAGGTCAAAACTTCGCATAATACTTGTGGTCGCGGTGATGCTGTAGTTTTTTCATCTGGATCATGCCTCTGTACTTCACTTTCTTTAATTTTTTTGTGTCGATGTAATGTTACATCTTTAATTTAAGATGCCTGTCCTATTACCGATTCCAGTCACGAAAATGCCTTCCACCACAACCCCAGGTAAATTACAAATTCGTTCTATTGTTTGGAACTTGGCTAGTCAAACAAAACTAACAAAACAGTGGGCTCATGCCGTGTCTACTTGAAGAAATGAAAACTTCGCAAAATACGCGCGATCGTGATGATAATATAACCTCTTTATCGGGATCGTCCCTGCGTATTTAACTTTCTTGTTTTATGCGGATGTAATGGTAAATCCTGGTTTGAGATGCCTTTTAAATAACCAATTCCAGTCGCAAAACTGCCGTCCACCACAAATCCAGGTAAATTGGAAACAGGTTTTATTGTTTGAGAACTTGGGTGGTCAAATAACACCCACCAAACAGTGGGCTCGTGCAATGTCTATTTGAAGAGATCAAAACTTCTCGGAATACATGTGGTCGCAACGGTGTTATGTCCATTTATCAGAATGATGCCTGCGCAGTTTACTTTCTTTTTTATGTTTTTTGTGTCGATGTAATAGTAAATCCTGCATTTAAGATATCTTTAATATTACCGATTCCAGTCACGGAAATGCCGTCCACCACAACCCCAGGTAAATTACAAGTAGGTTCTCTTGTTTAGGAACTTGGGCACGCCGGATAACACCCACGAAACAGTGGGCTCGTGCAATGCTTACTTGAAGAGGTCAAAACTTCACCTAATACTTGTGGTCGCGATGATGTAGTTTCTTTATCTGGATTATGCCTGTGTACTTTACTTTTTTAAAGCTTTTGTGTCGATGTAATGTTAAATCTTTCATTTAAGATGCCTATCATATTACCGATTCCAGTCACGGAAATGCCGTCCACCACAACCCCAAATAAATCACAAATAGGTTCCATTGTTTATGAACTTGGGCATGCCAGATAACACCCACCAAACAGTGGGCTCGTGCGATGTCTACTTCAAGAGATCAAAACTTCGAATAATACGTGTTGTAGAAATTGCGTGGTAGCCTCTTCATCGTGAACATGCCTCTGTATTGTATTTTCTTTCTTGCGTTTTTTGTGTCGATGAAATGGTAAATCTAGCATTTGAGATGCCTTTTATATTACCGATTCCGATCCCGAAAATGCTGTCCACCGCAACTCCAGGTTAATTAAAATAGGTTTTATCGTTTAGGAACTTGGACAGCCAAATAACACCACCGAGCAATGCTCTCGTGCAATGTCTACTTGAAGAGAAAAACTTGGCATAATGTGTGTCGTCGCAATTGTTTTGTCGCCCCTTTATTCAAATCTTCCCTGTGTATTTTACTCCTTTTTGTGGGTTTTATTTGGATGTAGCGATAAAGCTTGCACTTGAGATGTCTTTATAATGTCAATTGAACCCATTCAAAGGTTCGTCAAGGAACATTGGTGCTTGCCATTGCTTGGAATCATGTTTTTTGTCTTTTTATACTTAGGCTAGGTGGCGCAAGCTACCGCCCGTTACACAGGGTATAGCCATTAACATTCATCCATCCATCCATCCATCGACACGAAGCGCGTTGTTGGACCCGAGTCCTTGCCGAACGCTGACGCCGCCCTCGGTTCCAATCCATGCCCAGAGTATGCAATCAAACAATGGCAGACACTCTTTGGCGCCGACTTTTGAAGTGGGTCTACCTATCAAATGCCGTTAACCACAACTCAACGTCAATTAAAATTAAGTTCGATACTTTAGGAACTTGGGCAGTGAAATAACACTTACCAAGTGGTGGGCTCGTGCAATATGTACTTGAAGAGTTCGAAACTGCGCATAATAGGTGTGGCTGCAATGGCGTCGTAGCCTTTTTACCGGAGTCGTTCCTGCGCATTTTAGTTTATTTTGTTACGTGTTTTTGTCGATGTAGCGATAAGGCCTGGGCATTCGAGCTGTCCTTTTCGTTGTCAATTCCAGTCGCAAAAATGTCGTCCACCACAACTACAGAGGTAAATTTAAGACAGGTTATATCGTTTAGGAACTTAGACAGCAAAATAACAACACCCAGCAGTGCCCTCGTGCAATGTCTTTTTAACCAGGTAAAAACTTCGCATAATGCGTGTGGTCGCACTAATGTTGCCGCCTTTTTTTTTTTAATCATGTCTGCGTATTTTACTTTTTTCATGTCGATGTAGCGATAAAGCGTGCATTTGAGATTCCTTTCTTACCGATTCCAGTGACGCAAATGCCGTCCACTGCAACTCTAGGAAAATTAGAAATAGGTCCTATTGTTTAGGAACTTGGGCCGCCAGATGACATTAACCGAGCGATGGACTATCATATTCTGTCTAATGGAATGTTTGTCACACATTCTGCCTTATCAGTGCTTGTCAGCATAATCAAACTTTTGTATTTTTCTTTATCTGAGAAACTTTTTTCTGGCCGAAGGAGCTTTTCACTTAGATGTCGCGACTCTTCCAAAGCCCGAAAGAGGGCTTCCAAATGCAAAGAGAACGGGGCGCAGTGTCGAAAGAGTAGTAGATGCCATGGCGTCAGTGAAAAAAACGGCGTGTCGTCGCAGCCCGGGGCCCGTCCACGACCGACGCCGCCACGAGTGTCGGCACCGGCAACGAACGTAAGTCTCCCTGAAGCCCGGATCAGCGACGGACTCGAGCGCCCCCCGCTGGCGCGTCACCCCAGGTGCGCTGGTGTGCGTGGTCTCGGGACCGCCCAGTCCGGCAGTTGCAGCCCTGTGCAGTCACCTGGTCCTGTGGGACGCCGTCCACAGCATCGAGAATGGCTCTCTCTCGGTCAACAGTACGTCAACGGCAAACGCCACAAAAAAAAAAGGAAAAAACTTTTTTTTTTTTTACCTAAAGCAACTGCGGAGTCGTGTATGCTCAGAAAAAAATATAAGGGTCATTCAAACAGTACACGCCTATATTCGGCCCTCAAGGATTTGGTCTAAAAAAAAAAATGTAAAAAGGAAATGTTATTGGAGATGTAAAAGAACGTTTTTCAATAGACCTTTTTTATAACATTTTTCGTGCATATTTTTAACGACACCTTGAATTTTGCGGAAAACGGGCCCCGGGGGGTAATATACATTTTTCTTTTTTCCCCGGGAAGGTTTTCAATTAGATTGCAAAATCAAAACCGTTTTCAGTAGGTCAAAACATTCTTTATTTTCTCCGTGCGAAGCGACCGGCGCGCCGCCGAGCGGGCTTTACCGAAAGTAGGCAGTGAGTACCACAGCGAAATGAAACCACGCCACCACGCACCACGCGCGTACATTGGTACGCATTGAAGATCGGAGCGGTGCGGTTGCGCTGGGTTGACCGCATGACCTGCAGTGTCGGTAACTGCACCAGTCGTCACGCGTCGGGTCTCGTGGGGACAAAGCATAGTTTTTTAACTCGCCGTTATTTTGTACGGCAGCGACAACGATGCACTCGTGCCGTGCGGCGCAAGAAATTTGGTCTCCCCATGGTCACTTAATCGGCACGGCTGGGATATTCTACACTGCCGCTTTGCACGTTTGTGAATACATATGTTAGCGCTGATTGGACGTATTGAAATACCACCTCTCACTAATGGGTATAAACCGCGTCGTTCTAGAACAAAAATAGCTTGGTTTGTTCCGATATTGAGAAAATTTTATTTTCTGCAATACTCGAGCAAAACAAAATAATATCTCGAAGTTTATATGGAAATGCCGAGAACACAACTCCTTCTCGCCAGATTGTTTTCTATCGGCTTCCTACACATAGTGCCACTGTTGTCATTGCTTCTGAGGTCGGTTCCAAGGTATTAAAGGCCGTCTTCAAAAATATTTAAAAAATGCATAACAAAATATACACGAAAAGGTACTTTTCCATGACCAAAAAGTTAACACATAGAATGATTTTAGATCGAATCCCCGAGGGTCAAATTTAGGCCTGAATCGTTTGGCGTGAAATGACCCGGAGCTGAAACGTCCTCATCGCACGTTAGCCCGAAAAAGAAGAGCAGCTGTCGTCAGTCTCTAGCTCACTGGGGGAGCACGTGACTGGGGGAAAGTGCACTGCGGGACTGAGGAAGAGGGAAAGACCAGGGCGCCCGAGGAAGTCAGAACACCGGGCTCTGTTCGGAATGATAAGTGGGTGCGAGGTTAGCTGCGTTCGCCTCTACCCACTCCTTGAACGTGTTCGTACGCGGAACGCCGGCATGCGGCGTATGGCGCTCGCGTTCGAACGCGTTCGGAGAAAGAGTTTCTGCAACTTCGGCGCGGACAGGTTTTGCGTCGTCAGAACAGCTGGATGCGCCACAGCCTCGCGGCTTGGCATTGGGTCTTTGGTCTCGGACTTCCCCAGTCGAGGCAGTCGTCTCGGTGTGTGCGCAAACTTCGTATCTAGGTACGTCGGCGGTAACCCTCTCCCTCGGACAGCTGAAACAGCGCGACGCGTACGCGAATTCTCGGGACGGCCACGCAGCTGAAGAAGGGCAGGCACGCTGTCGGATACACATGAGCGGGCGTTATTGTCCTCGGGAGAGCATTCTTTGAAAGAGGTTCACGTAAACACGCGAAACGTGATTCGGCGACGGCGTCCAATGTGACGCCCGCTTTTGAACGCTCTTGAGCCGCGTCCGACCGCTTTTGAACGCTGTTGAGGGTATCTCTGGCGGTCAGTATTTGAGAAACTCCGCACTTAAATGCGGGCCGCTAAAGGAGTGGCGTCCACTTCTTCGCCCGGCAATGGTGTGCGTGAGCGCACCGGGAGGGCTGCTTTCCTTCGCGTGCTGAGACGATACAGACATATGGTCGAGCTTTTCAGCAGGCGCAGATTCATTGATAACGATGAAATAACCCCTACAAAAATATGTATGGACGTCCTATGTCCATACTTTTGCCGTTCTATTACCTCTTTGTCCATCCTATGGATTCCTGTAGACAGTTCTTAGACCGTCTATGTACCATTGGTTTGCCACAGAATGGACACAAAAAAGCTACAGAGATCTTCGCGAAAGAAAAAGTTTTTCATTCCTTCCTATTTCCGTTCTATGGTCCCGGTGAGTCTATGGTCATCCTATTGCCTCTCTATGGTGTGAGCTATATATTGGGGCATTAACAAAGTGATGCCGGGTAGACGTTTTCTTTAGGTGTAGTGAGGTATCCGAGTTAAAGAGTTGTTAATTAAGTTCCGGGTATCAATATGTTACATTGATGTCTAGAGGCATATCCAACCTCAGGGTATACTCCTTGTGGAGATGGAAGTGTTCAGTATGTGCCGGAATAATGTTTTTACTTTCTCAGTGGGAGGTAGGTGTATGTGGGTCGCTGCGGCCCCCGTAGATATTCGCAACTTTCACAACCCATAGTGGGCGCACTGGTGCCTATCAAAATTGCGGTCATCTGGATGATCGTCGTTAAAAAGCGGTATACTATGCTGGGTCTGCGCGCGACGCCTAAGTAATTTGTAGTTTTGCTATATACGCGCAGTATCAGAGATTTACTTTATGTTTTTTTTTTCACGTCAGGAAAGTGTAGGCAAGCCATTTTATTGTGATGCCAATTATCCAGGAGCTAGGGAGTGCGATTCTCACACCGCGGTACCACCATCGCTTCAAGTGGCTTCTCTATGGACCTCGTAGGGACTCCGTGCAGACCCTGTATTGCTTCTCTGCAGACTCCATGAGGAGCCCGTGTAGACCCTGTATGGCTTTCCTGTGGACCCTGTATGGCTTCCCTGTGAACCCCTTACGTACTCCCTATAGACCTTGTATGGCTTCTTTGCGGACCCCTAAAGACCCTACACTCTTTAAAATGACTTTTACAGAGCACGTTTTTGCGTAAAAACAAATAGGGAAAAGCTCTTTTTGTAGAACCCTTTATTGGAGATCAGTACAAACTGACAAGAGCGTGATGTTTGCATACACTTTTAGCTTACAGGGTTTTGCAGCACAATTAATATTTTTTTTTACAGCCATGCCTCACCGGCGACTTCAGGTAGCGCGTCCCGATTTGGGTGCGTCCTAACTTCGGTGGCAATTCGCGGCGTGTCCGCCTGGGGGACGGGGTTTGGCATCCCTGAAACCTTTCTTCTACCGTATATGTTTCGGCGCCAAAGTGGCCGATTAAAGCCAAAGCAGAACAGTCATATGCTGTCGAATATCGATAGTCCCAAACCAACACACGCAGTCGTGCAGTTATCCAAGTGGCCACTGCGGGTGGAATGGTGGCGCTGCGATCGCAATTAGTTTGGTTTTCGAGTACAGATCGGTGCCACTTTTTCAGAGCAAGCTCTTTAGCAGTTTCCCAACTGACTTGCTCTAGAAACGTTGGTCGGTGCGGACCCCATAGCAGACCCCCTGCAGACTGAGTGGCTTCTCTGCGGACCTTGTAGCGACTCCCTGTAGAACTTGTATGGCTTTTCTGCAGACCCCATGAGGACCCTGTGTAGACCTTGTATGGCTTCCCTAGGGACTCCTTGTAGACTTCGTATGGGTTTTCTACACGGACCCTATAGACACCGTAAAGACCCTGTGTAGACACCCTATAGAGTCCCTATGGACTCTATATGGCGCCTTGCCATAGAGAGGATATAGGATGACCACACATCATCCATAGAATAGGACGTCCATAGAACGTCCGTTGGCCAATATTCTATAGGGCAGCCATAGGACGACTTCACGGAGGCAACAGAGGTCGTGGTCCGCCTATAGATGCCTTTTGTCCTCCCTATGGACGCTGGTCTATAGAACGCCCTAGAAGTGTCCATACATATTTTTGTAAGGGAACTATCTTCAAGCCGAAAAGAAAGATGGGTAATCGGTGTCGCATTCCCGACGATAAAGCAGTTTTAGTGACGTCCTTTTCCCCACTTGCGCCGCACGAACAGCCCAGCACGACACCAGTCGCCCTCGTCATTGGTACCCGACGACTGACTCCTCGATCGCCAGTCGTGCAGCCAGTCTGCGCTTGGGTATTTCAGTGGGCGTCGTGGTCCGAGCGCTCGATTTGTGACCCGGGCGTTGGGCCCGTGGGACGGACACCGCTCGGCGGACGCCTCTCGGCGAGCTGCGTCGCCATGGGATCGCAGGTCGCGCTGTCGGCCTGTCTGTGGACGGTGGGGCGGCCGTGCTGTTGGGTCTGGGGCCCGCGTGGCTGGCGAAGCTGGACGTGGCCCACGAGGCGCTCCTGCGGCACTTCGTGACCTGCACGGTCTGGCTGCTGCGCGCCAAGCACCTCGACGGCATCGCTCTCTTTGCGAGTCCGTCGGAGAGCACGGCCAAGGTTTTCCTCGTCACCACCGTGCGTACATCCAGTTCCCATGTTATTCAATCCACAGCCTGGTATCTCCTCATCCCAGCACGAAAACGTTCGCCGCTTTGAAAAGCGAGGAAAGCAAGCCCTATGCGCTCCAACGCTGGAAATGACAACGCCGCGCATCTTTCCCAAACTTCGTAGGCTATGACTTTTTTTTGTATTAGAAGGTTCGAGAGTTTGTTGCAGCAACGCAGCTCGGCCCAACATTTGCGAGGAAAGCTGACTGCGGGGCAGTTGCGTGCGCTGTCCTACGCATGCATGGCGTTCTACCGCCGTGCGATTGTGGAGCCGATCCGGTGTCCGCTTCTCGTGCACGGCCACTGCGAAGTTGTGGACGACGCGTTGTTCGAACGAATCTCTCGAATTCTGCATCGGTCGGCTACCCGACCAAGCCGCCGTTTCGTAGCCAGAAAGAGCTTATGAACGCCGTAGACCGACCACAAAAAGTGTATCCCATGGCTCTGCTTAGTGCCCCAGCCTCGCGTTATCTAGTCATCGTAATTCGCAAACACGTGTCTAACAACAACACTTCAGAAATCAACCGAAAATTGAAATTCTGAACTTTTTGCTCGATGTAGCTTCGTAGATAACGGGAATTTACCGCACGTGAATCGCAAGTATGTTTTTCTGCAAAGCAAATGCGTGATTTCTTTTAGACTCCAGTGCAGTTATTATTTTTTTGTATCATAGCGTGGAATGGTGAACATAGGCTGTTTACATTTCTGATTTTGGGCTCGTTGTTCGCGGACATCTATTCCCAACATTCAAACCACAACCGCTGGAACACGTAGTCAGTGAGTATGCTCGCCTAGCTCACACTTCTCGAAGCCCGCAGCACCACGGGTAAAGTGTGGGCCGCTTTCGCTGTTCGCTGAACCTAATTCGAGACGCTCGGGCACGACCGAGGAAAAAATATTAGAAAGGAATGGAATCGCTCCACTGGCCCGAGCCTACCGCGCGGACTCCTTGCTTACCTTAATGGGTCTCGATGACCGTGCATAACTTGGGTTCGTTAAGATGTCCTTTGGCCCGAAAAATGCTGCAGCGTTTGGTTCAGAGTCGTTCGCTGAGACGAATGTCGGAAGCCGTCTATTCTGTGCAGGGACTGGAGCGCTACTTGCAAGCGCATGGCGCCGTCCGGAGCCTGTTGGTAGCCGTGGGACTTCAGCTGCGCTCTTCCCGCTCGGCCTTCAACATGTTCAGAGGGTCGGTGCTACGCTAGGGCATTTCGAAACCGTCTTCGACTTTACCGCCTCGAAAAAGGGGCCTTTTTCGCCCACAAAGTGCGTTAGGTTCGAAGACCTCTGGGTTGTTGTTTCTGGGTTGTTGTTTTAGGGGGATTTTGGAGGGGTTGGACCGGACAAGGGATGCGGGCCCTGACATGTTTACGAGGAGGAGGAGTCGCAGACGCGACTGTCGGCTGTTAATGGGTTCCCGGAGAAGATGGCGCCCGGGTACCGAGACCGAAACATGTGTTATCCACGGAGCCCGCCACCGAGCTGGAACGGCGGGGTGACGGGGGCTGGAACCACCGAGCGAGGTGATGAGAGAGGCGTCCTGTGTTCGTCGCAGGGTGGGGGACCGTTCTTGGCAGACATGTACGTAACGCGTCACAAGTAACGCGTTACTTCTACCTAGTTACTATTTCTGGTAACGAGTGACGTATTTAAATGCGTTACTCGTTCCTTTTCTAGAAAAATAACTAAATCGTTACTTTTCTGGAAAAGGAACGAGTAACGTACTTATTTTCTTTTAAGGCCAAGTAACGAGTAACGGTATCTCGTTACTTTTGAGCAGTAACGTGTACAACAACGTTTAAACAGCCTCGCTTTTATTCGAACCTGAGAGTATGCGTCTATTGCGAGAACGGTGGGTGGGCAACCCGAAAAGCAACTAAACAGTGTGACAGTACAGCAGCGTATATCGCTAAACACGTCAGTCGAACAGTTTGACTGACGTTTCCAGCGATAAACTCTGCCGTACTGAACTCTACAGCTGGGAATGTCCTTCACCCCGCGAGCACAATAAGGTTCGTTGGTTGAACCTTCTAGAACCGGGAACGGACCGAATGTAAGCCCAGAGATTGTGAACACGGGAAGGCACAGAACCCATTACCCGCTGTCCTCAATGAAGGCGCACTAGCCGAAGATTCACCAGCTCTTGCTGAAGCACAACACTGCCGTTCCTTTGGAGCGCGTCGGTATAGAAGGACTCTTCAGCGTCGCCGGAGATGTATTTTCAAGGAAGCGGGGAAATATAACTGAGGAAACTTGGAGAGGCAATTTTAAGTGCAAGGACTACTGAAATGAACACAATAAACCGTGATGCAAAAACAGTTCTGTATCGGTCGTCAAAGTAACGTGAAAAGTAACTCGTTACTTTTGAGGTAACTCACGCGTTTATTTTCAGAATCGGTAACGAGTGACGTATTTAGTTACTTTTTTGGGGTAACGTGTACATGTCTGGTTCTTGGAAACTCGGCGACGAGCGCGGGGTGCGGCAGTCTACGCTGAGCATCGGAGGGGGCAAGACGCCACCAGGACTCCGGGAGGTCTCGCGTAGCTCCTAAGATCTAAAACCCAGTCTGTGAATGTATGTAAATAAACCATATACAGGGTGTTTCACGAAAGGTGAACAAATTCGATATCGCGAAAACTACACGTCGCTACAAAAAAGACTTGTGTCGTTTTCGTCCTGGGCCAGGGGTCCATTTAGGAAAATTATTAAAATCCGGGATAATTAGATTGTTAATTATTTCTTGCGGAAATAGCGTTTTTGAATACTGTGTTTAAGGGCATGGTTTGAATTAGAAAATTGCTCAGCATCATCGAAAAACACTAAATCAACAAATTGCAGAACGATAGAAGGCACTCAAAGCATTTTACGGCTTCTGAAAAACCGCACAAATTCGACGCGTTTTTAAGTTTCGGTTTGTTATCGGAGCGCATCTGGGCCCCGACGGCACCGCGCCCCGTAGAGAAATAGGGCAACCAGCCTCTGCTGCGCTCTCCTCGCGCGACGCAGCCAAGGACGCAGCAGAGGCTGGTTGCCCTATTTCTCCACGGGGCGCGGTGCCGCCGGGGCCCAGATGCGCTCCGATAACAAACCGAAACTTAAAAACGCGTCGAATTTGTGCGGTTTTTCAGAAAGCCGTAAAATGCTTTGAGTGCCTTCTATCGTTCTGCAATTTGTTGATTTTGTGTTTTTCGATGATGCTGAGCAATTTTCTAATTTAAACCATGCCCTTAAACACAATATTGTCACGAATCCAAGGAAACAAAAAATAACTGGGGGAAACGGAAACGTTTAATGGGGCGAACTTGTGCCCAAAAATAAAAGGAAATGGAAGATAACACGAGAGCGTCGCGAGCGTCGAAGTCGACGTAACACCAGAGTCGAAGGCTGGGGCGAGACTGACTGAGGATCGCCATGCGGAGCCCCTAAGTACACGCGTTGGTTTCTGGAACAGTCGGCCTAGAAGGTTCGGCGACGAGAAAATTCGCACCTCGAACGAGCAACAAGATTCTCGAATTTACTAGAGCACTAAATTGCAAGGATAAACAAAAGACGCGTCGGTCCCAGGAATCGAACCCGGGCACTTCGCGTGGGAAGCAGGAACGATAACCGTCGGGCCACGGCCGCGCTGCCTACTGCGCGCGCGGCAATATTTAGAAAGTTAATTACGCAAAAATAATTAACAATTTAATTATCCCGAACTTCAATAATGTTCCTAAATGTGCCCCTGGCCCAGGACCAAAACGACACAAACCTCTTTTTTTCTTGCGACGCTTAGTTTTCGCAATATCGAATTTGTCCACCTTTCGTGAAACAGCCTGTATTCGTTAACTTCCACTGGATGTGTCCCTGTGTGTCAACGTCTCCGTCGGCCAAGGCGCAATCCCGGGCGGTTGGCTTCATCAGATGTGCGGCAACCGCCGCGAACGGAACATAACTATTTGCAAAGAACTAAAACCTTTCCGTCCCCATGTACGCGTCTCCGTCTCGCGCTGTCATACCTAGGAATCCTCACATAGCCGTGTACGCGCCTCCGCTTCGCGCTCTAGTGCCTCGGGATCCTCAGGTCGCCGTGTATGCGCGGCACGGGCCGCCTTTCGTCGTCGGTGGCTAGTGTGGGCGCGACGCCGGTTGCGAGTCGCCGAAGCTAGCCGTTCCTTTCGCGCTCGCTCCTAGCACGGAGGACGACCTTGACGCGGCGGTGCCATTAGGAAGAGTCTGCGTTCTGCAGCAGTGATGGTACAAGCGGATGCGCATGCTTCCCAGTGTTGTTGAGCGGGGAAGGGAGGGACATAAGGGAGTTTTCGTAGACCGCGTTGCCCCCTCCGCTAAGCGTTCCGCAACAAAGAAGTTGCTACTGCGCCTGCGCGCCGATAGCCTTGACTGTGGAGTTCCAGCTATCGTAGCGGGTTGCGGAGGGCCTTGCGAGACGGCGAAAACGATCGACGAAAACTCCCTAATGTTGACATTCAGCGAAAAGCGGAAAGTGAGAGGGGCCATAGAGAGAAAAAAAAAAAAAAAAGGCGAAGCTTCGCCGGAAAGCGCTTGGAAGGCGACGAGTTTTGCAGTTCTACGTTTCGAGTTGGGTTTGAGGAGTATAGTGAAATCGAACGCGGTGGAAGTCTATAAAACCCTCCGTATTAAGTATAGCAGCTCGATATAGTGCTGAAGTGGGACTTGGTATAACGCGGGTAATGTTTGAAAACACACCGTTTTGAATTTAGGGTTAGCAGACGGCAGGGGAAGACGCTCCGCTAAGGCTTTCTCGCTGTCGCGCCGTTATTGGCGGGTCGTCGGGGCTTTCTTCCCTTCGCGCGGCGCGGGAAAATCTCTCATCGTACCATCAGGGGACAGAAGGGCTTTCCCATTTCCGCTGCGACGACAGACAACGAGCGCCGACACCAAAATCCCCGCAAAGCGTGACCCGCAAAGGCCTCTCGATTTCCACCTAATGGCGTCATTGAAGCGTCCTGCTGTCGCCAAGGCCGCGATCCTGGCGGTGTCCTAGCAGCGCTGGAGGACATGGCATACGACTGCTCCGCTTGCAGTTCGGTCTGCAGCTCGACAGTCCACGGTAGCTTCAACAACGACATTCAAGTTTTCTTTTTCTTTTCTTTTTTTTTTTTTTTTTTTTTTGCCGGAATATTTACAATTATTTACGAGGATCGCGACATCTGACAGCATAACACGCATTTTTATTTGTTTCCACTTCGGAAGCACTTTGGATGAATGGGCGGAAGTCTAGAGACACCAGTCGGAGACACGATTCCCCTTCACTCCGCGTCGGGGCGCCGCGGGCAGCACCGCGCCTGACGCTGGTTTTCTGGGCTGCAGACACTGCGCCCTGCTCTTCTACATGACGCACGGGTACGGCAGCAGCCAGCCGTGCAAGCTCTCCCCGCCGACGCCCGACTGGCTCACCCAGGACGACCTGGAGGCAATGGTGAGCGCGGACAACCTACGAGAATCGAGTCCCACAGTGATTAGCGTCTGGCGTGCCCGACTGCTTGTCACGAGTCACGCGGAGCGCCAAGTATCACTAGGGGGGTCCCCATGCGCAAGCACCCCGCGATGCGCTCGAGACAGCCATCGTTCCTTTCTTCAGCAGCCAATGAAATGGGCGATTTGTTTCCTGTAAAGCTGCGCAGTCCTTGCAGCTTCGGGGAATATGGAACACGGCACAACGACCGAGGCTGTAATTTCTGAACGTGAGAGGTCTATTTTAAGTTTCGATTCGGCTTTTAACACTTGCTGGCTTATCATGGCGACACACGATGGGAATTGAGCCAAGCATAGCGCTCTACGCGGAACGATGAGCTTCCACCGCGTCGACGATCCCCACCACCGCCATGCTTTTCAGCGTAGAGCAGGAACCGGCATGCAACGCGCGCGGCCGATTTCTCCTCGACCCATGATTTGTCATTCGTTGTGGTCGCTCCGTTCGTTCCCAAACGGGGGAAAAGTTGAGCACGGCTCAACTGCTCGCACTGCGAACGACACAGCCATTTGGTGCTTCGTCGCCACGGCAACTCGACGTTCTGACCAGTTGCATTCGTTCGTAGTCGTGGCGGTCGCTCTGAATGCAAGTGTGCGAATCGGCCTAGGGCTCGAAAACCGGTTGTAGCGCAGTCAGTAGTAGTCAGATGCCAGTCTGTGAACCAGACTTTATTCCATTCCGTAACTGCCGTTATCGTGAATTCTACAAAACACAAACGACGTTAGTTTCTTTTTCCGTGTGAGTGTCTAACTCTTATTTGACTTCGTATGCTTATTCTTTGTGTGTGTGTGTGTGTGCGTGTGTGTGTGTGTGTGTGCGTGTGCGTGTGTGTGTGTGTGTGTGTGTGTGTTTATGTGTAGGTGCTTTTTTCTTATTCTTTCTGCAGCTGTGTCGTTTTTGATGGGTGGCTAGCTTATTTATCTCGCTACATTGCGTTGCAAGTATCGCGTTTCCTGTTACCGTATTTACTGGAGTAATAGCCGCACTGTTTATGAAAAAAACCTGAGGGTTCGCTTTTCCACGGAACTCGGAGATTGCCAATCACCGCGATGGACAGCATGATTCCAGCTGTTTACAGGACAGAGATAACGCCTTCGCTCGAAGATACCATTTGCGAAGATTGCATTTGTATTCTGGTTATTCGCTATGTTATTTATGCGCAACACAGTGATTGGCTGTATATGTGTTCTGCGGGAAAGTAGACTCGAGGGCCTTGTTAATAAATAGTGCGACTATTACTGGAGTAAATACGGTATTACTGCTTTGGTTTAGGAAAGGGCGAAAGGCAATGGAGCTGTTTTTTTTGTTTTTTTTTTTTTTTTAGCCTTTTTGTCATTAAAATGGTATTTGAGGAAAAATAATCCTCGTACTGTATCGCGCTGTGTCGTATTGTATGTTATTTTGTTTATTACTGTAAGAGTGGAGCTTTGTGGCTGTTTGCCCCGTCTGACGAAGCACTGCTGCCTTTTCAGGAAAAGCTGGCGGACGAGTCGGGCGGCAGGACTGCGACCTGCGTGTCCATCAACCTGGCGCTGATGCGCTTCGAGCTGGTGCCGGGGAAGGAAGGATTCCTCGAGCCCTGCTCCAGAGAGACGTGGGCGGACTACGCCGAGGCGAGTCCCAGCTCACGAGCCCCGCAGTCCGGCGCCCAAATGAAGGACTGACCGGGCGATCCTTCGACTGCTTTAGGAGATCCCCGACACTCCGCCCACCTGACGGAGGGGAACCGAAAAAGGCCTCAGGTCACGATTAGTGGCTCAAGTATCTCGTTACGTCACAGGTTTTCGCGAGTGACGAAACGAAAATGTGTAAATCGAAATTTGAGCTTCTCGAATTAATTTCCCGACGAAATATTAGTTAGTTTTGGTTTGATAATTTAGCAGCTTAAGTGAAGGTACAGTCTTTTCCAAAAGTGTAGAGTCCACCGCGCGCGTGGTCAGAGCGGGCTCGCTCCCGTGCAGGGAGCGAGACCGCTCTCACGTCAGACATTTCGTGAGCGCCGATGATAAAAGCGCTTTTTATCGTCGGTGCTCTCGGAATGTTTGAGGGGGAACTTGGCTCTCGCTATTTTGCGCCAGTTTGGTATCGAGGCGAGCGCGACGTGAGAGCCAAGTTCCCCCTCGCTCTCGAAAGTCTCGCAGTCAGCGGACGCCGACGATAAGAGCGCCGCTTCACGGGAGCGAGCCCGCTTCGGCCACGCGCGCGGTGGGCTCTACACTTTTGAAAAGGACTATACGTAAACTTGATGACCTACGATTGCTATTAAAAAGTAAAAAATAATATTGTTTGGCTCGGCTGTTTTGAGCCGGTTACCGCTAAATTTATTCCGGTTCAGTTCCCGTTCAGTTTCAAGATGGCGACGACGATTTCGGTTCGGTTCCGGTTCTGCCACGAATAAAGGTTGGGTCCCGGTTGGACTTTGGTTCTCGTTGCAGGCGTGCCCCGCCCGGGGCATCCGGTTCGGGCGGCGGGCCGAGGGCGTCGCCTACACAAGGAGTGCGTCGACAATGCGCATCTTTGAGGACGAGGAGGCCGTCAAGGCAAAAGTGAGGAAACCAGAACCAGACCATTTCGGCTCGGTGTGTGTAGGGCCCTACCCTGCACCTTCTGTCTCCTATCGAAAGCTAGAGATGGTCCCGACGCGCGTTTCACTACAAAGCGGACGATCAAAGTCCCGCGTGCCTCTCCTACCTTTCGCGGGAACGAGGCAACAAACCGGGGCGACGTCGCACGACGGACCGTTTTCTCCCTCCGCTTTCCGCAACCAAGACGCGACTACTAACGACTCGCCGAAAGCATTGCATGACGCAGTGTTGGACAAAATACTCGATAAAAGTATTTAAGTTAAGCTACTAAATACCTGCTTCCTAAAATATTTAAAATACTACTAAAGCTACTTTCACGGTAAAATATCTCGAGTAGGATACAAATACTCATAAATGTAATTCAATTACTTTGAAGATATTTCCGCATTGCGTAATTTAAATCGACGTCAGTGACAACAACAATTATACAGTTGCGCGAATCTGGTTTACCAGTATGGTTCATTTGTGCGCAAAAACAAAACAAAAAAAGCGGCAAAAAAAACAACTACATTGTAGGGCTATTTTAGTCACGAATGACAAATGATGAGGCGGCGAATAACTGGTGAAACTAAAAGTTTAAGGGGGCGAACTTGTGCCCAAAACAAAATAGAGAAAGGCTAGCATCGCAGGCGTCGATGTCGGCGAAACAACACGATCGAGCGCTAAAACAAAACCGACTCCGGACAAAAAAAAAAGAAGAAAGATTGGTTTGCTTTTGTATGTTTATACAGCCTTGATGTTGGTACGCCTCAACAGGTGATCGGTCGCTCGGCTGTAGATGAGAAATTTAGCGAGTGCAGTACAACCGCTAACCTGGGGATTTTAACGTGAATCACGCAGTAGTGATTACACGAACGCGTGCCGGTACGAAACTCACCCAGATCAAAACGGGCGGGGCGGTGGGGATCGAACCAAGGAGGTTCCCAGCGCAAGCTTTCGCTAATGCCACTCGGACCAAAATTTTGTACCCGCGTGGGTTTCTGGAGCATTCGGCGTAGAACGTTCCGGGCGTAGAACATTCGTAGCTCGATCACACGACAAGGTTCCCGAACTTACGAGAATGTCAAGTTGAAAGAATAAGTAAAATAAGAGTCCGCTCTCTGGAATCGAACCCGGAGGCTCCGCGCGAGAGCGAAGCGCGGTAACCATTCGGCCTCGCGCTCGCTTGGCGACGCGTTTCGAAATATCACTGACACATGTTACGAAACATTTCTGGGACGGAAATAAAGAGGTCGCTTTAGCTATAGTGAGATCAGCGCATCGTTTAACTACAATCCATATTTACTATATGGGAAGTTCGTTATAAACGAACTTGGGATACCGATATGAGTGAATGGATAACAAGGAGAACCCACGTAATAACAACGGCAGGGTCGCACCTTCCTCAAGTAGGTTGTGTTCAGAAAGGCACTCAGCGTTGGGAAGGGGGATGGGGGGGAGGCTCGTTTCCTGTCCTGCTCTCTGTTTATCAATGTTCCCTTACAGACAGTGTTTGCTAGAGCAATAAGTGACGGACTGACGACAAAAAGAAAGTAAACAAAAGAAAACCTAGACGCTTTGCCTTATGGTGGTCAAACCAGGGTTGGGCAGAAATACTGAAAAATGTATTTGGAAATACAAATACTGGGATACATCGAAATAGTAGCTAAAATACTGATACTAAGATACATCTGTAAAAATGTATCGCGATACGTATCGGAAATACATTTTAAAAAGAGGCAAAAAGTATTTGGAAATACAAATACAGGAATACATTTTAGGGAAGGCAGAAATACAAATACAGAAATACTGATACTGCAATACATTTTCCAAATTTTTTGAGACGCCAACTGAGATTAAGCTTGAAGTTTGAAGTGGGTGTTTTCGATCCCGAAATTACTTTCCTGCAGGCTTGGTACTTAGCCTTGAAGGTAGTGGTTTCGGACGACAAGGAGTCTTCAATGGGCCCAAAAAAGCGTTCCAACAATTGCTGACCGCGGTCCCTTCCATGACATCCTGTCTGTCTGACGAGGGAATCCTGTCAACATTGATCACATTATGTCACGGTGTAGTGAATTAGAATTCTTTATCTTTAGGTGTGGCCTTGAACTTTACCATTCTGCTGTATGAAAGGACAATGCGTACTTTCGTTGTAGGCTACCTAGCTGAAGATCGTGCATGCAGTGTCATTTGGAATTTTCGAAAATAGTGGACCACCTGAAGCATCTTGGGATACATGTCTTATCTTCTGTTTTACAGTTGAAAAAACGATACGGTAGCATCCCTGTTCTGAAGGTCCTTGCTACCGACCCTCCACCACCGACGCACGGATTGCAGGCCTCTAATTTTGCCTAGCATTATCCAAACAGAGACCTCGTGGATTGCGAGCTGATATTGCCGGCACAGGTGCGAGCTATCCGAGAAACAGCGGTCTCGAGACTAGTCGCGGGAGTACGTAGTCTGGGATTGCACAGCGAGGCCACTTCTGGCCTTTTTCTGAGTTTCAGATCACCAGAGCAGCGGGTCACGTTCATGTCGGTTGATGATGTACCCTTGAGCCGTGCAATGTTACGGGCGCAGCCGCAGATGCATTCGAATATGTGTTGAACTTCACAGCGTGAGTCTTCCTACTACCTCAAGTCAACCACTGCCTGGCTCGTGCTGCAAGGGAATGTGACTCAGCTTTTGCCGGCTGGGTGTGCTCTGTACGCTAAGGCGAGAGAGACGGTTAGCAGCGGGCATTGGATGCCAGGAAACAATGACTCATGAAGTCCCTATACCTAAGGACCTGCGGCAGAAGATGCTCTGACTCCACTCCTGGCACGCCACCTTGTTCGAGTCCCCGACTACGCAACACTTCTCAGAAGAGGGAAGAGGACGAATAGAAAAATAGTTTGCAGAATCAAAAGGAACCTTGGTCAGCATAGCAACAATACCCCAGCATCTCCTTGACTCTGGTGCCCATATAGAAGTAAAAAAAAAAAAAAAAAAATGCGTTCTAACTTTTTTTTTTTTCGGGGGAGGGGGGGGAGTATTTCGCAAGAAATGTAACGAAATACATTTGATCCTGATTGTATCGCGATACAAAGGAACATTCAAAATGTATTTCGATACAGGAATACAGATACTGGTGAAAAAAATGTATCGCGATACAGAAATACAGATACGAAATGTATTTCTGAAATACTATCGCGATACATTTGTATCGCGATACTGCCCAACCCTGGGTCAAACACACAACAAGCAACACCAAAATGACTTGTTTTTTTCTGGCCTCTTCTAATTTGTTTTTATTTGTTATTTTCTTGACACTCAAGTCTGCATTGTTGTCGTAGGTCGTTTCCCCTCTGCGTTGCGCCTCAGTGTGGCAATCCTAACTTCCGTAAAACCACTCCTTTTGTTTGAGGATTTTTGGGAAGAAACTCTGGGAAACAAAAGGCGCCTTTGGGAAGGCGGGGGAGAAACCTTCATTGTGCGAACTTTGGGCTGAAGTAGGACTCACAATAGGCAAAAAAGCGATGTGTTTTCACGAGGTCAACTAAAGTCACCTTAGCTACTCGGAGCTAGCAACAGGATTTGGTTGCTCGAAAGAATGTTCAGGTTTGCTCGTGTACGCCCACGCCACTTTACACCGAAAAACTCAGAAAATAGTGGAATGCCAAAAATGTATTTAAATTATTGAGTACAAGGTACTCAGAAATGTAATTAAAATAGAGTATCAAATACTCTAGATTAAAAGTATTTTCAAGATGCCAAGATACTTCAAAAAGTATTTGAAATACAGTATCTTGAGTAGAGTATTTGAGATAGACACAAGTTTCGCATGATGTCGGATACCAACTACCAAACTCCCTAAGACGGAGTTTGAGTTGTTCGGAGCGCTCCTTACGGCACGCCACCGGTGCCACCGCGCATGCGCGATGGCGCGTGAGCAAGATGCGCCGCGTCCCGCGTCAACAAACCATTGGAATGTTACGTGGTCGGCGTCGGTGTGGGTCCCCGTGCTACGTCTTCCTTGCGATGGCATAAGACTAGAAGCTGCGCCTTCAGCGCGAGCTCGCGGGCTTCCGCAGTGTTTTGGAGCCGCGTGCCTGCGCGTTCACATTTGTTCAGTGTTGTGCCAAGTACTCAACAAAATTATTCAAGATAAGATACTAAATACCCATATGAAAATATAAAATTTAAAGTAGTATTGAAGTTACTTTTAGTGCGAACTACCTTGAGTAGAGTACAAATACTTTGAAAAAGTAATTGAATTACATATCCGAAGATATTTGGCAAGTTTTGCAAGCTGGTAATATAGGAATAAAAAGTAAAAACAAATAATGCTCCATGTGTGATGACTTCTTTGAAAATCACAATTTGCTGTGATCTTTGACCATCAAGAAGCACCTTAGCTGCTGCAATTGAAGTTTTCTCTGAACTAATCTGTGATATACAACATAATGCAGGCTGAAATATATTAAAAACAAACAGGATTAATATATTGTAGACATTGCACCTGCCGTGCTTTAGTATATGACGACAAGCTCGGCTCATGGTGCATTCCGATATAACTTCGTAATATGCCCCGACTCGATTCGGTGGAATCGATACGCAGTCCGGCATTGCATATCCAGTGCAGCCGAACTAGAAGTTGATCAGGAAGTCAGACTTGTTGATGAGGACGCCAGTGAACGGCCTACGTGCACGCTCAGGAGAAACAGCTACTCGAGGGAAGCAGTCTCTGTCGCTCATCCACAACCAAGAGCGATTACTTTGTCCCACCAGTCAAAAGCGAAAAGCACCTGTACCTTTAACCTGTCACAAAAATATATTAGGCAGGTCAAAAGGGAAACACAGGAGACTGTCCACAAAGCCTCTTCAACCCCCCCCCCCCCCCTTCCCCCATTTCTGCACCAGTTGAAACCATTCTTGACGCACTGAGATTAAGATGGAGGAGAGTCCAGAATCAGAATCCGCTAGTTTATAAAAAAACTCCACCTGGCGAAAAACTGCTTTTGACGATTTTAAGGACGAAACAGTGCGCGCATTTAGAAGGTGATGAAAGAAGCGCTTTTAAACGAGCTTTGGAACAAACGTTAGGAGCTTTGGCCAAGTCCACTCCAGGTCATTGCAGCTCAGTAAAGCCAGTAGGGTATAGCTTCTTTGGCTGAGGATGGGCCCGTGCTCGCATGAAAACGTGTTCGCGCATTTTCATACTGGAACCCCTCCGAACCTGCGATTTCCGAAAATGGTTCATTGTGATCGTGCCGAGAGCTGGAGCAACAATCCTCCGCCGATGGAACCACTCTAGCGCCAGACAACATGTGGGGGTCTGAGTGTAAAATGCGGATGACGTCACCAGCACTTTGCTCCAAGCCTGACGTGCCATTCAAAGACAGCTTGTAAAAACGAAAAGTGGGCAAGAGGACGCATCGAGACGGGCCTGTTTGGAGCTATTCATTTGGTCTTTTCTTGGCATTTGCATGCTGCGTTTTGCTCCAGCCTTGTTTCTTGCTCTCTAGTTTTTGTTTTTTTTTCGAGGTTGACAATTGTACTTAAGATACTGAGTAAAGAATAGTGAGAAATGTAATTAAAAGAAAGTAACAAATACTCTTGGCTAAATGTAATTGCACGACACCAAGTACAACCAAACGTGTTTAAACTACAGTATCTTGAGGATAGGCACAATTCTGGACATATGTCAGTAAGGGCACAAAGCTCGAGCGGAAGGCAGAGCTTCTAGTCTCAGCTTTCGGGTGAATGAAGTATAATGGCCTGAGAAAAATTAACGATGTTCGTTACACCGCAAAACTTCGTTTAAATAATGTGACGTGCGGCGATTCATTCCGCGTAAACGCCGCTAAAGCCATATTTACATGATGAGATTCTGCACACTATTTTCAGCCGCGATGTCGCTCGGGCGGCAAAGCGTGTACTGCAGCTGTGATGGTCGACGTCGATTCTGAAAATCGCGTACCGGATCGAACCAAGTGAATCAGGCATAACAAGTGGGGGATGGCCACTGGAAACAATTAACATCTCCTTGTATATCCGGTGTTTACGCCGAGACTACCTGTCCCAAAGAACCTGCAAACTTGGAAGTCTTTGGAGGCGTGCACTTCTCGTCGCGACGTTTGGTCTACTGGTCGCTGCCGTTTAACGAGCTGATGACAGTTTGAAACGAGTTCGAAAGAGCAGACGACAGATTGAGCAATCAGACGGTCATTTAAGCGTGAAGGCGCACTTAACGTTGGGACAACTTGACGGTATTCCCGCGTTCATGCTGGAACAAAACAAAAAATGAGAGACGTTTTCAAGTCTCTGTAATGCGAAATTAGAGCACAGCTCTTGAGAAGGAGGAGGGGAGGGTATGGAGGAGACGGTACGCCCCTCCTCCTTCGTACCCTCCTTCTCTTTCTTCTCTCCGCCTCCCGTCCTCCTCCCTCCTTTCCTCCTCCTCCGTACCCTTTTCCTCCTGCGTACCCTCCCATCCTCCTCTTCCGTACCCTTTCCTCTTCCTCCTCCATACCCTCCCCCTTCCCAGTTTCCTCGCTAAATTTAGCAGGAAAATTGACGCCACGTGACCTCAACACCAATTCAGTTTCCCCCGAAAAATTTAGCGGGGAAAATGACGTCACGACTTGGTGTCACGTCACCCATGAACATATTCAGGGGGGGGGGGGGGGAGGAGAGGAGGAGGAAAGGAGAAGGAGGAGAGATGGAAGAGGAGGAGGAGGAGGTGGAAGGGAGGGTACGGAGGAGCAGGAGGGACATACCCTCCCTTTCTTACCCTCCCCTCTTCCTCCTTAAGAGTTGCGCTCTAGTTTCGCATTACAGAGATTTGTAAAAGTCTCATTTTTTACTCTCTTATCCAGTGCTATCTGACGGCCAACCAGGAGGTATTTTGGTGGTCTTCTAAAAAACTGTATCCAGCTTACACCCGCATTGTTGTTGAAAACGAAGGCGGAATATTACAGCGTGTTTGGGCTGCACCCCAGCTCCGCACTGTTCCTGTCTGCTGATCCCGTCTGCTACAACCACGCATGCATGTTCAAAGGCCTAGTGTGTCGCGCTGTCGGCATCGCCCAAAGCTTGGCGCCCAACGCTAGTGTGAAGGCGTGAGTGTGCCCCTCGCAGGTATCTCAGCTGCTGGGCGCCCACCCCTCGGGCTGCGTGGTCCTGTTCGCCGTCGACAAGGACGACGAGGCCGCCCGGTGTGCCGCCAGGGGGCCCCTGCCCAGGGTCCGGGCAGCGGCGGAGCTGCTGGGCAGGCCCGCCGGTACGTCCCGCCGCGCCGAGTTGTGGTTGAAACCCGGGACGGACCTTCCGTCTCCCCTCGCTGCACACGAGCTCCAGAGGGATTCTAAACGAGGATCTTCCCTCACTTATCGCTTGCTGCCCTCCACTGATCTTTCCCCGTAACCCGTTGCAAAATCATCGCGAAGCTTTGTCCGGGTGGGTGATTTTCGCCAGATTCCGGGCTAAAGATGGTTGTAGCTGTTGCAGTCTGATTCCGTCTGGTCTACCCTCTTTGGACAAGCGTACGGTTCTCCAATGGCGCTCTCTGCACATTCCACCGAATGTTTTATTTTAGAATGAGAATAAAAAAGTGAAAGCCGTTTACAACTCCTTGTAACACCGAATTAGAGCGCAGCTCTTGAGGAGGAGGAGGGAAGAGTACTGGAGGTGTGACGTGACCTTGGGGGTCACGTGACCGTGGGATGACCTTGGGCGGGTCGCGTGACCTTGGGGTGACCTTGGTTACGCCGACGCCGACGGCGACGCCGACGCTACTCAAGCCGGGAGCGGGCCCCTAAGAGCTGCGCTCTAAAAGTATTCGGAATTACGAGCGCGCATCCTCGCAACGACCCAGATATCAAACGTGAAAGGGCGCCGGCTCAGTCAGACCTAAATGAAATGGTTTTTCTTCTGCCCTCGTCACCGAGAGTACCTGTACACATTCCTCGTTCGTAGTAACATAAAAAAAAAAATTAAGCGAGCTTGATCATGATGACAAAAAGTGGTAAGCCCGGAATGTGTGATAGGCGTTCGTCTGTGGGGCACTTCATGAAGGCTCCTCCTTTACTGCTCCTGCCGTTTCCTACTTTCTCGAAAAGCTTGTCTCTCTCCTCGTCCACCGGGGTTATGATCGCTTCGCATCCATGGCCACGGCGGAGGAGGAGAGAGAGGCGTCCGAACGGGCACAGTCTCGGCTCTGAAGTTACGCCTCTGCGGTGGCGCTGTTGTCGCCACGGCGCATGCGCAGAAGCTTGTCGTCACGTGAATCTGGTTTCTGCGCTCGCGCAGTGCCCACACCTGGTGTGGGCAAACGCGGGCTTGTTAGGAAACAGTGTGTCAGTCTGTAAAGCAAATGTGCGAAGATTCGCTCCCATTTCTAACAAGCGCCGTGAGATGGCGCAGCATGATATACCCACACGCTTTCGAGGCTGCGAAGCGCACGACTGCGCCGGGACGTGCGGCCTTCGAACGCCGCGCGAAATGGTCCTCTTCACGTCGAAAGCAAACGCTGTAAAAAAAATATGTCGGGGGGAAAAAAGGAAAAATTCGGCAAAGACAGTCAACACTGTTCACGTGTAGGAATGCTTTCGTATTCATACACGCACCGCATTCCTACAAGCAGCGCGTCGCGTCTTCCTTTCGCACACGGCGCTCCGGCGGTGACACCAAGCCCCTCCACTGCGCAGGCGCGGCGAACCCGGCTTCACGACGTGTTCCGTGACGAAGCATTTGCGTTGCTGCGCTTTTCTTTGTGTCTTACTGGGAATGCGAATTTAGGCGCCGTTTTTTCTGCCACAGACGGTTACAGACGACGCCTGCTTCGTTCCATGGGACAGTTAGAGGGGCCCTGCAAGGACTTTTTTAAGAATTTTTAATTTGCACCGAACCTGAGCGCACTGAACGTAGTAACTTAACCAAACTTTTCTTTTCTAGAATTTCGCTTTATTTTTAAAGTTATAGGCAACTTAACATTACAAAAACAAGCATAAAATAACCTCCTTCATGACGCCCTTGATTGCTTCAGTGGCCGTGAACTGGAGGAGGGTTAGTGAGCTCAGCGAGCGCTCACGGCTGCCGCACTCCGTGTCGAGGGCGCCGCTAAAGCATGTTCTGGATAGGCTGTATGAAGCGGGAAGCCAGAGCGGCTCTCATTGCATTTGCTGCGCGATTAAACACTAATTCGGCATGACACTTCATTGGCCACAAACGACAGCAAACACGGGGTAAAGATCAGTTCAGAATGGGAGCCACTTTGCGCTGCCATACCGCGAAATGGCCAAACCGCCAGACAAAGCAGCTCGCCGAAGGCCTTCGGAACGCTCGGAGCCGGTCGGATCCTCCAGTCCCTACGACCGCAGCGCCGCCGCGTACATCCGGGACCTTTCCGTGTCAGCGCCTGATCCCACTACTCCTTTCTAGTATCGCCTCCTTTTCCACCGCTTGGTGGCGGGTATGTCGACGGATCATTTCTTGTTTCCGTACTTTATAAACTGCATTTGTTTCTTTCATCTAAAATACTGAACCAAACTACTTTCATAAAAAATTGAAACGGTTCGCGCCACTTATAGTTTGTATTCCGCCTAAAAAGAAGCTTTTAGCGGCTCTGACCAGTGGTAAGCCCAGGACCGAAGACGTCACATATCGCGCGCTTTCGGCACCGCGGGTCGCCCCCGTCGGTGGAGGAGGTTTCCGCGTCGTCCGGTTAAAATATGACGCACTGATATTTAGTTACTCTCTCCGTGCCCGCGGGCTTGCCCGAACCCCAAGAGACGTGGAAACCGCAAAAAAAGGTAGACGCTTAAATAGGATTGCAGGGCCCCCTTAATGCTTTCGCATTAAAACTTCCTCGCCAGCTCAGTCGGTAATGCATTTGGTTTGAGTTGAAGTCCTGCCGGTAAACTGAAATATTTTTTATATGGTTCCCTATGAGCGTAACGCTTTCGGTGTCTGTTTTTCCTTGCAGCCAAACGTTGCATTCAAAACGGTACTAAAGAATCGGTTAATAAACACATATGGTGTTAATATGTGGAATCTATTTGGGATCCGGTCTCAAAACAATTAAAAACTAGCTGTTCAAAATTGTTCGTCACGCTTTAAAGTTTCTTATTTGCCCCCCCTCCCCCTTCCCCGTCAATGTCAATATGTGGAATCTATTTGGGATCGCTGTCTCGAAACAATCATTTCGGAATTAGCTGTTCAAGCTCCTTCGTCACACTTTATAGACCGACACGCGGAGCGACTCTGTTTACCAACACGGCCGGAAGGCCGCGCATGCGCGGTAGCTATGTGGGCAAAAGCAGCCCGCCTCTCCGTGTTTTCGCCATTGCGTTGTGTGGCGTGCGCTCGTTGCTGACGTTCTAGGGACGCTTGTATCTTTATTTGTGCGTCGTGTTTCCTGACAGCGTATGTCGCATACTATGCCCGACTATTTAAGCTCGCTGCCCGAGCCTGAACGGCAGCGGTATCGAAACAAACTGTGCGTGGACGGCGTTGCCTACGAGGATCCGTACGCAGTAACCAAGTAATGTTGCTGCCACCGAAGTTGACGGCTCACGTCGTCGTTTATTTAGTTTCTTTGCCAAGCCATTTCACGGCCGACACGGTGCACACGTACAAGTCTCTCGAGGCCTACGATTACTTCGGGTCGGTTTCCGCACTGCCGGCGGGATCAGCAGACTGTGCGTCTGCGGAAGTGTGTTCATTAATTTATTAAATAAACACAGCGTCTTCAAGTCTAGGTAGCATATTTTTCCTACCCTCATGACCACAAGGCATGACAAGCAGTAACGCTTTGTCCGTTCTGCAGTCTTGGCGGTAACACGTTACAAGTAACGGCGTTGCCGGTAACGCGTTACTTTTTTCAGTAACGTGGTAACCTACTCGGTACGTTTTCGACACAGTAACGGGTAACGTACTTACGTTGCTATTTCAAGTAACGTAGTTACGTTACTCGTTACTACTTCCCAGGTCTTAAAGAAATTACACTTCAATTTTTTCCGTATTTTAGGCGGCAAGCCATGTTTTTCTTTGCGTTTTTTCTAGTGAGTATTTAGGTGAAACCGTAAAAAGAGATAAAGTAATAATGTTCAGTTTCCGCGTGACCATAATGTTTCTTGATATATGACTTGTATCGTCAAAACCGTAAAATATGTTAAATCATAACTTAAACAAAGTAACGCAGAAGTAACGTGCGTTAATTTCTATCGGTAGCGGTAACCCGTTCTTTTTATTTTTAGGTAACGTAGCTCAGTAACGCGTACCTTTTATTTGTAATTAACGAGTAACGTATTACGTTGTTTTTTTTATTTTTATTTATTTATTTATTTTTTTTTTTTGGTAACGGCTTCAACACTGACTGCCCTTCTGTCGGCGATCCCCTTCTGCTGGATAGCACGGGCGTAGCGAGCCTCCGACGAGCGCTTGGCCGATGCTTTGTGCGCGAACAACATGGGAACAAAATCCGGGCGGTCTCGATCAGGCAACGGTTTCCCTGCGCATATGCAAGCCTCGGGACGGAGACTGAAATGGAAGCCGCAGTTGCCTTCAAGAAAACGTTTGCCGCACAAACGGTCGTTTGCGCGAGGCGACCATTTTCTTTTCTTTCGATCCACGGATATCATCCACCTTCTATGCCTTTCAGAGTCTGCCGGAACCTTGTGGAAACTCACTCCGCTGCTTTTCCTGTAAATTTCGGTGCAATTAACGGCAACACAGCTTCGCGGCAAGCTGAAATGCTATGACGCCCATGCGAAACGCGCGCGCTTTTGCCCATACCACCCGGCTCCGGCGCGATCGCAGCGCCGCCGCAGCTCCATGACGTCTAGCCCGCGTGTCGGTCTCATCATTTTACCCGCAGCGTCAATGCGCATCAATAAAAATCAGCTTATCATTACCTAATATTCTCCGACCTAGGAAAGCGTCCAACCAGTGCTTGTGCCATAGAATATTATATCATCTCCGCACAAACTCGAGGAGGAGTGTATCCGAAGCCTGATGTCACGCTCGCCTTGTCACGCAGGCGAGACCTTCCTTCCGCCCGTGGACGTGAGGGACAAACGTGAGCTGCAATCGGATCGAGTCAGGCGTGCCTCTCACCGCGCCTGCGTCTCACCCGCAGGGGCACTGGTTTGCGTCGTCACCTCGAACATGAGCCCGAAGAGCGCGCTCACTCAGCTCTGCACTCACCTGGTGCTGTGGGGGGCCCTCTACCACGCTGAAAGCGGGACGTTCTCGACGCCGGGTAGGACACTCCTGATGGTCTGAACCTTCCCGGGTCGACTGACCAATGGCGAATTCCACTGGTCCTTTTGAGCGCGCCGGCATCGACGTTTCTGGAGGGCGCCTATTTCAATGGGTTATCGGGATCGAGACGGAAGTGTTCCACTCGTCGTTTTGGATCAGCTCCCAGATCTTGATCCGGATTCGAGAAAAGTCGCTCCGCCGATTTCGGTGGATTCGACCGGAAGCCAGCCTGGCCAGTCCTCGACGTGCACACGTGACTTTCTTTCTCGCCTGGCATCTCGCCTCGGAAGACTTCGTAATGGCCGTTTTCCAAGTGACGCTGCTTGACGACAGGTCGTCGTCAGGTCGTCGTCAGCAGCGGCTCAAGCGATGAGGATGGCGTGCCGCGTTAGTCCGACTGCCTTTAGGAACTTCTGCAGAAGAGGCCGAAAATCGAAACATACTTGGACACAGTTCACCAGTATTCCGATGAGGAAGCAAGTGGGCTATGCTGATGGACATGCTTATTGACAGGCATCGTTTACATTATGATCAATTTCGCTCGTGCAGTGAAGACGTGTTGTTAGCGCCGCGATTACGAAAACCGCCAAAGACGTGTGCTTTGGGATCCGGAACCGCGGAAAGGGGATTCCCGGGAAGGCGAATGACGGAAGGGATCCGCCGATCCCGGAGGAATGGTCATGTTCTACTCGGGATCCAGAGGCGGGTGACTCCGTTCGGATCGCGTGCTCCATCTCGGATCTTGTCTACTGATCCCGGCGCGCTCCAAAGCGACCAGTGGAATTCTCCATAACATTGAGCACTCGGTACTCCCCGCTTCGCGTGGACGCCCGCAAATCACCGCGAGCCTTCGACGAACTTCAGCAAATTTTCGGTCGAAGGCGGTGTGCAGCGAAGCGGGCCACGCGACATGTCATTTCCTAATACTAAGCGGACATTGATGTTGGTTGCACTAATCAGATCGGCAGTCGAATGAGTTCCGCGGCAACTCGGTAATTTAAAGATCTCCATCCGACAGGCCAGAAAGATAGTCCGTTCTCCCAATAACTGAGAGGCCCGTGCCACCTTGCTAACGGTCGAACCTCGCGCTAGCGTTGTTGCTCGGGCTTGCATGCATCGCTGAACTCACCGGCTCATTTCAGCTTCAAACCGCGAGAACAGCAGAACAGTTATTCGTAGCCTTCATTCTAGTAAAGCTCTGCACGACGAGTCCTCCGACGCCGATGCGGCGTAGCATCGCATGCTTGAAATTGTCCAGTCAGAGGTGTCCGAGACTTAATCGTCCGCTCTTAAATCAACGTGGGGACGCAGGGGCGAGCGTGAGGGAGTTGCAGCTCGAGCCTGGCTGCCCGATTCAGCTGCTGCTGGGCGTGCATCCTTCCATCCACAAGTTCCTGGACGCCGCCGACGAAAGTGCCCTGACGCAGCTTGTGCGCAACGTGTCCAAGTGGCTCGCAGGACGCCACCTGCATGGCGTCGCTCTCTTCTCCACCGCCTTTGGAAGCCCCATCAAGCTCCTACTTCTCAGCACTGTAATCACTTTCATTCGTACCTTTGATTTATTCGAGGCTCACGTCGAGATGCGTCCGGGAAACCAACCCTCGCGCGTTTCGATCGCCGGGGTAACTCGCAGTCTCAGCGCACAAGTCCGGGGAACGAGTCGAACTTTCAAACATACTAAATTGCAGAAGTGTTGTAAGTTGGGCGTGTTGGTATGATGACATGATGAACAGAACAGCGCACACAAAGACGAGGACAGAGAAAAGGAACATGCAGGACACACAAGCGCTGTGTGCGCTGTTCTGTTCATCATGTCAAACATACTAACACCGTTTCACGCTATGTTCCAAAAGGCGCTAGAAGTAGCGCGTTTAAAGAGCTAGTTCTTACACTTCCTTTTGCGGTGACCCTCGTGGAGGACACTTAGCGCCCACAGCGTCGTTAAGCGCTACTGCGTGAACAGGCCTCAAACAATCCCACCTAGAAGACAAAGCACCCCTCCCCCGTAACATGGCCACTATAGTGAATGCACTTTAGCGACGCCTAGGCTGCCTAAGCACTGCCGCCAGCACGTCGTGCAGCTACGCACAACGAGCGCGACGCTAGCAGGCGGTGAGACGGACGTCTTTGCGACGTGTCTCGTCGAAGCTCAGCGTCTTTGTCCGCCTCCACTAACAACGACGTCGTGGGCAGGCCTTGTCTTCTGGATGTTATTGCCTCAACTGGGAACGATCTACGAATGTGCGGGAAAGCATAACGAAAATTCCCTTTCAGAAATTGAGAACGTACTTTGGTGCGGCGTCCACTACAAATCTTACGGTAGCGGTCGGACTCGAGTACTTCTACGCCGCCGACTCGCTCGAGCTTTTCGGGAGGTACGTGTTGAGCAATGTTTAACCATTTCGCGGAGGGCCGCCGGATGTGTGACAATGTTCCTCCCACAGGCAATGCGATTTGCTCTTTTACGTGACCCACCGCTACAAAAGCCGGGACCCTTGCACTATCTCCCAGCCGACGTCGTACTGGCCCAGCCGCGAAGACCTGCTGGCCACGGTGGGCTCTGAACTTTGTTGTCACCGGTGACCTACATAACATCTCTGTGCAGAAAAAGCTCGCGGACGATTCTCACGGGAAAACTGCAACCTGTATCTCCATCAACCTGGCTGTGCTGAGTTTCCAGCTTCTTCCTGCGAAGGACAAGTTCTACGATGCCTGTTCGAAGGAAGCCTGGACCGACTATAACCAGGCAAGTGTGAAATGTCCGGTCGCTCCGAGCCCGCGTGTCCCTCCTCGAAGTGGAGCCGTTAAATATAGACGAGGTGATGGCACTGCACGTAGCAGACGGCGCCGCTCGTTGCTGTTTCAGACCTGCCAGGTCGCAGGCGAGCCGTCCGGGAGAGAGAGCGGCGTCGCTGTGCGCAAGAGCGCCACGACCATGCAGGTCTTCGAGGACGAGCAGACGGTCAAGGACAAGGTACAAAGCGCGATAGTGTTAGCACAAACGAGCGGGGTTTCGTCTTCTGTTTCGGACGTTTATTGTCGAGTGCTTGTTCGAGGCACCAATATCAGCGGTAAACTTAATTATTCCTGAATACAGTATACCCTGTCTGAGTACGAAGCAGTTTCGTAGGTATTACCGAAATTCTAACAAAATGGGTTACTCGTTACTTGCAAATAAAGGGAGCGCGTTACTCACACATGTTACCTCAAAATAAAGGGAACTCGTTACCGTTACAAATAAGAAGTAATACGCGTTATTTATGCGTTATTTTTTTAATTATGAATTAACAGATTTTACTATTTTGACATAATGTTTTAGAAACATTATGTTCATGTAGAGACTTAACATAATTACATTATCCTTTTTACGGTTCTGGTTTTGAAGGTGTGTGCGATGATTGCAAGGACCCATATGACTTGGTGCCTAAAAACAAAAAAAAAAATGAAATGTATTTTTTTTATTGCGAAGATTAAACGAGTTGCGTAACTAACGTTCCTCGAAGTAAGTAACCGAAGTATGTTATCCCTTACTGTTTTGAAAATGTAACGAGTACGTTATAATGAAGAAGAAAATAAAGGTGTCGATGTCGTATTGGTGCTAGCCGTGTCGTGCAGTGCACGCGTTCAGACCAGAATACAAAATGTAAGGCTAATACCACGATGGAGAAATGGGTCCAGCCTAGCACCGCTGCGGTCTCGGTGCACGCAGGTGTCGCAGTTCTTGAGCATTCTGCCCACCGGCTGCGTCGTTCTGTTCGCTGCCGACAAGGACGACCTCTCGGGGCGCTGCTCTGCCGGAAAGCCCGCGCCCAGAGTCCAGGCAGTGTCTGAACTGCTCGCCCTCGAGACCAAGTTGAAGCGGGAGCGATAGAAGAGAACAATAAACGAACTTGTCACGCTTGTGTTGGAAAGAGCGGCCGTTCTTCGTCTCCCTGCACGTGGATTCGAAGCTTCCGAGCCACAGCCAGCCCACGGCCGCTGGATTCTGGTTCCCGCTCGGCAGGGAACGGTCAGCCGTTCACAGTGGTCTGACGTTCATCAGGAGCAACTACTTCAGATGAAGCTAGGAGCTCGGGCTTTTAGCTTTCAAATAATACCTTTTCAAAAAAAAAAGTATTTAATTAGAATGCTGATATTCAAATTGCCAGGGAAGCAAAAACTGCTCTATGAAGCGAGATTATTTCCGTGTCGGTTGAATCTAGTGAATTGTGCAAAGGCAAAAATCTCGCTCTTCATTTTTTTCTTTTTCTTTAACATTTGCCATTACGTTGGTGTTTTAAATCTTGCTGTAACGTCAGGGGTGGGCCCGAAATAGTCTTATATCCAAACAAAAACTAAAGATGGCAAAACTGTGAGCTTACAAAAAACAGAAAACACGAGACTCCTCTATAAAATGAGGTGTCGCTCGGACAGTCGGCTGTTTTGCAACGTAAACACCATTGCTGTTTTTAATGTTTTGTCCTTCGCCCTCGACCTTTCGAAGGTGAGCTATCTGGCTTCCAGACTCGAACGAGTTTTGAGATTCCTGCTCTAAGCGTAGCTCATTCAGTGGCTCATACCATACCAGCCCGCAAACTCATACCTCATAATCTCAAACCAGCGCGCAACAGACGTACCCTCGACCCGGTGCATTGCTTAATTGCCCGCTGACACAGGGTATGCAACCGCCGAGGGTATGGGTACAGTGGCTGGGCGAAACGGCTTAGCAACCGGACGTCGTGCCTGAGTCAGATCCGAGTGCTCCTTTTTACCGTGTCACAATTTCCGAAAATCTGCGGTTGTCTGGCTATCAGTGCGTCGTCGTCGGGTGCACAAATAATTTTCATCAGCATAACAGCAATCGCGGAAAGTGCGCGATGGGCACAAGAGACTGCAGCGCGAGTGTGGCTACACTGGTAGTGAGCTTCGCATGTTCTCCAAAGACTTGTATTTATGAAGTCAGTCGATTGCGAGCGGGAATCGCGAGGGCTTTATATCAAACTCATCGTCACGTTTATGCTCACGACCACTTTGTCTAGTCGCATGAGTAGTGCCACTAAATAAGCGATGCTTCAGAGTAACGAAACTTGGCCCTATTGCGGCTTAAAATCATGGTTGCCACTTATCTGAAGCTTTATCTGAAATCACAGGAAACGTTTTCCCGTCCTCTGTTTAAACAGTTCACGACAAAGCCAAAAAATATTGTATAAGTTTCCTAACCCCGATTCTAATGCTGAGGAAGTCGCACTTTTGAATCATGACGATCGGCAGGTGCGTCTGCTCTGCACAATCACCAAAATGGCGGCACCCACAACAGTGTCGGGGAGCGGAGTGCCGATAACTCGTTTAGTGGCTCTAGGCATGAGGATCCGATTGGGCGCGTTCAGAAGCGGCTCCCTCGGCTCCGAACGGAGTCACTCGAGTCGGAGTCATCGGAGCGCCTACTGAACGGCAAAAACAAACCGCGGCTCCAAACCTGCTTCTACTCAATTTCCGCTTCCTCCCCTGCGCCAGACGGTGTCCGAATAAACTGGAAGCAGACGATGGCGAGCACGATCGCTTTTATTTGACGCCGGTACTGAAGAAGTCTCGACAACACCCTTGAAGAAAACGCGGGTGACTGTACACATGAGTGCTGCTGTTCGAAGCGATGCAACGCGATCGAGCCCTTCGCTTGGCGGTGCAAAGGCAGCTACTGTTATAAAAACCGACAAAAACGTCGTCAGCACACGCAAAATACAGAGCTCGGCGAATCTACGCCGCCGGTTGCGATACTTTTATACGGCAATACGTTTGTTCTGCCGTCGATAACGAACTTCCTATAAAATGTATTCGTATACACACGGGAAGTTCGGCCGCCCTCGGCGATCAAGGTTTTGTCGGACGAAGCGAGCGTCAGCCAACGTGCACCCCGATTTAGCTACGCAAACAAGACATTAGACAGTTTTAGTATAGCGTTGCTGGCTCTTGCGTACGCAATACGCAATAGTATAGCGTACGCGAAAAATGACCTGCTCGGACCGAATTTAGTTGTGCGTTACGTTTCCGAGTGAGCACCGCGCGTGATCTTGGTTAAATTTGCTAGAGCCGTAGAATTCCGCGTGCTTATAGCGCAACCATGCTCCTGGAAAGAAATATTGAGAAAGAAAAAGTGTCCAATCATTTTATTTCAGATTAAACCAAGCCACAGCTGCCTCGTCAAGCGCTCTTTTCTGCGGGGTACAGAGGCTACGAGTACGAGTGCGTAGCCAAATTCGATCACGGAGCCTCCTTCAGTCGTCTCGTGGAAACGGCACCTTTTATCAATGCTATCGCGGAATGATATTCATGACCCTGATGTCCAGTGCATAGCGAGAACTTCGGCGATTTCTTTTAGAGTCGTTCGTCCGTCGGCGATGGACTGTGGGAATAGGCTTAGCGTTGAGCAGATCGCAGCGTCGACGCACACTGCGAGCGGCGAACATTTCCACTGTGCACTCCTTCAGCTGCAGGGCGATCTGATTCGACCGCGGTAGATTCCAGAAAGAATCGCCGAGCTGAACACCACGCAATTTCACGTAACACATAACTTCGAAAACACTACGTCGCTCTTGGTGCGCCAGTCAAGGCAACCGCCATGTTGAAACTGGCGCTCTCGTTGGGTCCGAGATCTCTCGAGAGCGTCCCTCAAGGCCCGCTAGCCAGCAACGCAAAATCCCCAGCGTTGCGTGCGTACGCAATACGCTAGCCCTTTTATTGCGTTCTGCGCATGCGCGCTCACGACCCGCAATCTCCTTGCGTACGCAAAGCTATAGCGTACGGTCCACTAAAACTGTCTATTAATAGGGAGTTTTTGTAGACCGCCTTGCCCCCTCCGCTAAGCGATCCGCAACGAAAAAGTTGCAACTGCGCCTGCGCGCCGATAGCCTTGACTGTGGAGTTCCCGCTATCGTAGCGGGTTGCGGAAGGCCTTGCGGGACGGCGAAAACGATCTACGAAAACTCCCTAATCGGGATCATGCTCTACGTAAGTGTCCAACCGGCTCCCAAAGTCGCCTTCATACCCTGCCTTGCTCTGTTCAGCGCGGACAGGACTATCGTCGATATTCACCGAGCTTCCGTGTAAGGGCGATCAAGACACGGCGTCAGATGAACGTTTATGTTGTTTATTGGCATATTCAAACCAAACAAAATACGGTCCATTGCATTTTTCTAAAGAGCCTTACCTGAAAAAGAAATTCGAACGCTTCATTCGTCTCACCTTGAGGACGCGAGCCAACTGCACACTTGTGACAGAACCGACGCAACTTATCCCTTTTTTTTTTTTTCTTTTAGCGTCGGAAATTGTCACCAGTCAGGAAATGACGTCATCTTTAGCTCCTTTGACTCTACGTGCACCGTCTCCGGACTCGGTGCTTCGGAGCTTGACTCCGAAGCCCCGGAGTTATGTGCACCGGAAGTGACTTTTGGCCGTCCAGTGGAATGAGTCAGTGACTCCTTGACTCCGGCGCCGCTACTGAACGCGCCCATTCCAACCCCACACGCGACACACCTTCATAACTTTCCCTAAGGTTTAAACTCCACACGAAGGATAGGTTCCATTCGTTCGATGGTACATGAAATGCAAATAATTAAAACTAAATTAAATAATAATAATAATAATCATAATAATAGTAATGTTTTAGTTTGCACCAAAAATACATGGAACAGTAAATGCAGCCGGGAAATAACCTAAACAAGTTAGGCTTTTTTTTTTTTTTTAAGAAAGCATATTGATTTACTTGCTGATTTTCGTTATCGTGAGGTTCTGCTTATAACATGTCGTTGATGTTCATAATAAAAGAACAAAAGCTTTGTGTTCTATCTAAATTAAGAACTGCAGTTTCATTACAGCCTTTAGAATTAATTAAAAGAACCATCAATTTGGGTGCTGAAAATTATTAAATTCAGGTATAATTTCAGTGGAGTTTACATTTCATGTCATACCTAAAATAAGCATGCACAGCCATTTGTACATCCCTTCATCAATCGGCTGTTCCCGTGCCTTGTGCTTTTTAAACTGCTAGCTAGGGAGTCAAGCCTGTCATGCTGTCAGGGACGGCGCCAAAGGGAGGCGAGGGGTGGCGGGTGCCTCCCATCAACTTTGTCCTGCCACGCCAAAATAGATGTGACAGTCATCTAGAAAGATGCATCGCCCAAACCTTCGACGGCGCTTGTGGGATGACCGATAAGGTTTAGGTGTCCAAGCGTTCCGCAAAAGGGATCTGCCTCAAGCCCAGGGTGTAAGATGGGCAGGTGGGGAAACAGCTCCTTGGGAAACAGACACTAAAACAGCCACTACTGCAAACGGAAAAATCTGGGGAATTCGCCATCCTTCCCGGGTCTGTCTTTCGAATGAAACCGGACGAAACGATGAATTCACTTTTCTGTGATTGGAATGGAAACCTTGCTAAGCTAAGGGCAAAGATCGTTTCGGTTCTTAAGGAGGACGATTTGGAAGGTGTGGCAAAGAGTCTGTTAGGCCCAGTGCGGTCAACGCTAAGTGTAAAATTTTTCTTAAAGGATCATAAACCGGAAATGCCTCTTCGGGCGGTGATTAACGAATGTGGCACGTGGCAGAAATCAGTTTCAAAGTTTCTACAGACGGTCTAAAGTTTACTCATGTAGAGAAGTCATTGGCCCTCAGGAATTCGAACGAGTTAATCAGTATATTGGAGGTCAACCACGGGAGAGAATGTTCAGTTTTATCGATGGACATTAAGGACCTTTATTATTCTATGGAGAAAAATAGATTGATGACAAGGGTGAAGGATGCGCTAGAATCGAATCTGGTTCAGTTTCAATCCCAAACAGGCATTTCGCTAGACAGTTTTCTTGTCATTTTTGATTACTATCTTCAGTCTACGGTTGTGGAGTATGAAGGAAAAACGTTTGTGCAGAAGGAAGGCGTGTGCATT